TGCAACCATTAGCTGAATGTACTATCAATAAAATTCTGGGTTGCAAGTACTCACCTTAATATTTAAAAAAAAAAAAGATATCTATTCTACTTTGGTATGGCATCTTCAGTTAACCCAGAATATGACAGAAATATATCTATAAATGTTCAATGAATCAATACCAAAAATTTTGTAATGCTTTTAGTTATAGCTGCATACTAAATACAGAAAACTCTAAATATCCAAAAGCAAATCTAGTCATAGAGTGTAATGAGGAATAGAAAAAAGTTTATAATAAGCTCAAAAAAGAAATTGAAAACATAATTGATGAATATCTGAATACTACTATTCTAAATTCATTACTACCTAAGTTAATTGATGAAATTGTCATTGTTGATACTCTTTTTCCTAATGCTATAGCACAAAAACAAGCTGCAAATGCTATAAATGAAGCCAACAAAAAACTTGCTAAATGTCAATGAATGTATAATACTATGACTGTTCTGAAGATTCAAAAAAATCTGTTAGAACATATTGCAACTCTTAAACAAATGTTAAATATAGAAAATAAACAAATAACAAAATTAAAACATCAGGCAGATTATACATGTAAATCTGCTGAAAAAAAGACAAAACTTTTACAAAAACAGCAAATAATTAAAAAATATAATTCTTCAGATAAAAACATGTAAAGTTAATATACTCATTTTATAGGAGTTTCACAAAGTTAAATCATGCAAATCTTATTAAAGAAGATGCATCATGTCACTAAAGGTCGTCAATTAGAAATGTGATTTACATATGACCAATAGTAACTTGAGAAAAATTAGTGAACCCGATAAGTACAGATTTTCATGCATACTCCTTTATGATTTGTATATTTTAACTTTGTGATATTCATATACAGTTATCTTCTTTTTAAACTGGTTTTTTAGAAGTTGAATATATAAAACTTGCTGCATATATATATTTATAGTTCAAATATAATACTATTTTAGATCAACCGTCATTTATGTTTAAATATCCAAATTTACATGAACACATTCATGAATGTGTTGAATTTAGTAGTGCAGATAAAAAAAGATAAAAAGAAGTTATAAAAGTTAGAACAATTAATCATATTCGAGAGAATCTTGAATCTAACTATAATGAATATATATCTCATACTGGCCTTAATAATTATATACTATCATGCCAATCTAATTCAATAGCAGCAAAATCTCACTACCATTCAGCAAATATCAGCGTTTCTTCTGTTATACGAAATGAGAAAAAAGATCATCCAGATACACATTATTGTTTTGCATCTGTGAAAAAGGCAAAGCAATTTGCAATGAGATTCTCTACTCACTCTGTAATTATCTCTCAAGATGATAAGACCAAGTTCCTCTTGCCATTCTTGCTGTTGGAAAAACTTTTTAAGCTGTTCAGAGTCTTAAAGAACCTGTTATGTTGCTAGACCATGATTTTTCAATTGCCATACATTATAAACTAATTCTGTCAATTTATATGCTTATGAATTCAAAGAATAATAACAATACTCTATATAATAGGCAACTTGCAATCTTTATTCATTCTCAATACCATGGTAATACAAGCTCAGCTTCGCATATGAAAGATTTAAAATCATTAACTCAGAATAATCGCCTCAATGAAATATTAAAACTTGAGAATACTATCAAACCAATCTGAGCTCTTTTAGTAGATAAAGGTCCAGATGAGAACTTACGACACATGAAGAACATTATTCAATATAGTAAAATGTTTCATGCATTTGATTTAGATTATTTGACAGTTCAAACATATGCACCCTATCATTCAGCCTACAATTCTGTTGAATGTGATATGTTTGATGATATCTTAATAATAATCATTATATCAATAAGTTAATAAATTATTTAAAGACATATACAGTTTAGACTTTAATATAATTAATATAGTCACAAGTTATAAAAAAATTTTTTACCAATTACCTTAGTTACTGTAGGGAATGGGCTAAAGTACCCAGCATGACAAATAGAGCTGATCAATTTTTAAAATGCTATTTATATATGCATGTGATATATAATTCATGGGTTTTTTTATATAACTGACAAAAAAATCGCATCAATAGAGTACTTTAGTTTACGCTGTATAATCCATTGAATTTTGGTTACCAATATTACTAACTGATAATTATATTAAGGTCTAACTGTAATAACTAATTAATTAAAATTTTTGATATCAAAAAGTTCTTTACAGACTATGATTTGCATAGTCCTAAAGAACCATTTTATTAATATTTTCAATTTACAAAATTTTTTTGATTAATATCTTTTAGGTATGTCAACACTTTCACAAAAGCTTGCAGGAATTGTTTTGCCAACTGATAAATACAGTTCTCATCTAAATTCCCAAGGTGAAGTGATTGATCAAGAGCTTGCTAAAAAAAATTTTAAATATGTGAATAAAGTCTTATATGATCTATAAAGTCAGGATCCTATTTTTGGACAACAAGTTATAACAAAATATACGGACCAAAGAGCCTCTCCATTTGATGATGTTACATTTTCAGAATCTAATTATAATAATACTGATAAACCTACTTGGAGGTGGCTAGAAAATTACACTAAAATATATCAATATTCTATTGACATTAGAAAATGTGATAACACTTAGTATTGTACACCTAAACATTGTAAAAATGCAGCTGATCTTCTTGCAGTAAATGATGGCTTTCTTTCTCCAGTCATAAAAAGAAATAATGGACATTATTTAAATTCGCTTCATGTATTGGAGTTTTATAATATAGACAAATTACCTGGTTATGACATGCACTGTTACTTCTTGATAAATTATAGTAATCTTTGTTGCTCAATCTGTGATGCATATTTTCCAACAGGTTCAATGGTTATTCAACATATAAGAAATCAACATCCAAAATGACAAAGACGACCATCTAAAAAATAATTAGTTGTTTTTTATCTCTGCTAAAGTATGCATATTTGACAATTTGAGTATAAATAAATATTATATTATTCACTTTTCTGCCTATAACTTTTTTTGTAATAGTCAATATAATTTTTTGTTCTTTTTATTTCTACTTGGAAATTCTCATTAGATCTCTCAAAATTTTGTAATGCTGTAATTGAGCTCAGCTAATTCGAAGTTCCCCTTCCATAGTGTGTTACCAGTCATCATAGTATGATATTGGTATCCATTTTTGTGTTTTTATAAAAATGGGAAAGATTAACAAGATTGATAAAATTGATAAATTAGTTAAAATCAGGTAAAATAGTTCGAAAAATAAAAATAAAAACTTTAAAATATTAAAAGTATCCATTAATCATTTACCTTTTAAACATAATCTGAGTTTGTATCTTGCTATTTACTCTTGTCCTCATGACTATTATAAACACTAATTTTTTTTATTAAATAAGAGAAAAAGAATATATTTATTAGTAATCAGGTCTTTATATATATAAAAATATAATCTTGATTAAGTTTGTGATTAGACCCATTGTTCTATGATATATACGTAATTCGAATTCAATCGTGATCCAGAGACACGTGACTTGAAATAAGCAGTATACCTGTAATAAAAAAAGATATAGTAATAGTATTAGTATTCGACCAACATATTAAATGTAAGAACTATATATAGAGAGTAAAAGAGATACTTATCCAAGTCCCAGTAGTACCCTCGCAAGACTCAAAGGCCTCAAAACTCAGACCAAGTTTCTTCACACCTCGATTGTGGCCTACCAACTTGGGGTTTTTAGTTTTGTCTATTGAAAATTTGCTAGTGCATAGTATTAGATAGTATAACTTAATTATATTAGTATGATTATCTTCAGCACTTTCCTCTCTACAATATATAGTACGTATAGTACTGTACACAGCATATCACTAGTCTAGACCAAATCTGAACTGGTTACCTATGGACAACTTAACATTCTATTTATCAAAAATATTTTTTATTTTGTAGTACTCATCTAAACATGACTTTAGAAACATGATTAGACAAATTTTGAATAAATGCAGTAGCTAATTTGGGTATATGATTTTATATAGAATTTAGAGCATCTAAAATTATAATCTGGCATAATATCCACATAATTCAACTTATAATCTTATATAATTTGCATTTGAAGAAATTTTTATTAATCAATTGGCATTACATAGACTATATTACATAAAATCTTGTCATTAAGTCAGCCTATATTATACCCTAATGCTGACCAATTCTGAGTAGGATCATATAAATAATGCTGGCTAAACTATTATGTACCTAACACACTTTTAAAAATCAACAGCTCCGAATTTATTAAGGTCTATATTTTGAAACAAGTAGCTGCGCAACATTGTTGAAATTTACACAAACACTATTTCAGTCACAGGAAACCATATTTTTCATTGCAATGCATTCTTGGCATAAGAAAATGACTCTTTATAAAAGTTGATAGTACTTGCAATCTAAATATTGGTTTAAATTTCAGTTACTAAGCCTAAAAACCTATTAATAAAGTTAATATCTGATTGCTATATAGTTGGTTAGCTAACATCACTCAGTTCCGATCAATCTAACTCAAGATTCTAAAACTTTGCAAAAAACATTAAAATCTAATCTGCTCAATAAAAAATTCAATAAAAAAAAATGAAAATTATTAAATATTTAGCATTGAGGACTTTAAATTTATATTGGTTCACTGATTATTGTGCCAAAAAAATTATTTTTACTATTGTTTGTTATTGCATCTTTGATTTTACAGATGTATATGCTCATTTATAAGTTTTTTTTTTACTAAACTACAAATAAGTCATGTGGGCTAATCAATTCCAAGACTTTCCGTATAGAGATATTCATTCCTGGACCTATCTTTTAAAGTATTGTTCAGAGTGCTATACAAGATCATGATAAAGGATAACCCAATCATATGTTAAGAATTACACACATCATTTCACTATTAAGTAAACTATACCATACTCCATTCCTGATATATATACTTACAGCATTCTGATATTGAAATTTGATTGGTCAAAAAATGGAATTTTTTTAAGCTTAATCCCTAGATTCGCATAATTTTAAGTTTGCTGCACGCATAATTTAACAATACCAGATTATAATTCTGAACTCATAGGCAAAAGTTCGTCTAATTGGCTAATAAATTAAATTTAACTTTACATTATTTATATAGTTTAGAGTACTTTTTAAAACAATAAAAACTAATTATAATGAAAAAACTATATAAATGGTTTCATTAAAGCCATAGAACTTCATAGCCAATAATAAGATCTAATACTTGTTCGTTTAAAAATGTTAGTATAGTAATAATTACTTAAAATCTGATAAAATTAACTTATTATCAAGCTAATTTTTTTAAACAGATGAGAATTAAATCTTATTTTTGACTATGGAATCCTACAGCTCTAATGAATCTTTTATATAGTTTTTTTTATATTATTATAGTTGATTTTCATTTTTTTAAAAAAGTACTTTAAACTTTATAGATAATATAAAATTAAATTAAATTTATTAGCCAATTAGATGATACTTTAGTGTTTAGAGACTTTTTCGAAATATTTTTCTAAGTCATGTAACTTTTCCAGAATATTTTCTAAGTTATATGACTGGTCCAGAATTCTTATTAAGTCATATAATTGGTCACATGACTTCGAAAAATAACTTATAATTGTGCCACACTAGCTAAGCTTCATTATGTAATTTTTGCCTAATTTGCTATACTAGTTAAGCCATATTATATAATTTTTGTATAATTTTTGTATTGTCAAATAACTGACTATGAGTAGGTCTAATAAAAATCCCAGGAGGGGGTATAATAAGCTAATAAGTGTCAGTCCCCTAAGTAGTTAAGCTATTGCTAAGAAGTTTCGAATAAATTGTCTATAGTATCTAGCTAAATCAAAAAAAGATTTTAATTTAATAGTGTTTTTAGAAGGTTGAATTTTTTGTATAGCATCAATTTTTGCAGGGTTTGGGGCTATTCCTTTTGAACTAATAGTATGTCCTAAGAAAGGTAAGGATTTTATCTAAAAGTTGCATTTGTCAAGGTTGAGTTTTAATCCAGCTTCTCTAAGGGGTATAGCAACTTAGTAAAGTGAATAAGTTGTCAACCCTCCAAGTGGTAGATTGGGAGTTCAAAACCTACCGACAGTAAAAATTTGGAAAACTACCTATGTTACATTGGTGTATATGAGCATCTGTGCAATGCTAGAATTATACAGAGGAATGCAAACTGGCATTGGGTGGTGCAAACACATGATAAGTCCTTGAAACTGGTAATATAACAATGGTTATCTATCGATCAGTTAGAATTAGTACTTGTAACACAGTCACACCAGATAACTGGCAGGTCATGGGGCATCTGTGGCCATGTAAATCTGTGAACTGGGATAACCGAAGCCTACTTGGGAAGACCCGAGTAGAGAGGTAACATGGATCTTCGACAGTACTACTGTAAAGGCTAGATCTAGGAAACAGATACCAATGTAGAAGAAATCAGGCAGGCAAGAACCTCGGATGAGGGGTATCACCAACCAGGCCATCGGAAGTCTTAAACCAGAGAAAAAGAACCTTGGAGGGCAGACTCTGGGGTGTCAGGGACAGGTCACAGTCCTACTGAGCTATCTAGATTGAGAGTTTGAGATCAGAAACAGGGGTATACTAAAGTACTAGAGATATGCTGTGAAGTCAGTGCTGGGGTCTGGGTGAACTTTGCAAGGGCATGCCCTGTTAGCAAAGATTAAATGTGAATAGTTAGTTAGCAAGAGAGCCTCCTGGAGCCCTATAGTTAGGTAACATACTCTGAATTGTGTAACAGCTTGACAGACTTACAGACAGGGAGGCCAAGGTTAGGTTAGACAGCATCTAATTAGGTGTATGAGAGCTTGTGCTGCTATCTGCTAGTGTAGTATAGAGGTAACCTTGTACAAGTTATGTAATCATAATTGAATTCACAATAAAGGCAATAGCCATCATAACTAAAAGGCCTTAGCGAAAGCAAAAAAAAAAATCCAGCTTTTCTAATCCTTTGAAACACTATTTTTAAATGCTTTAAATGATCTTTAAATGTTTTTGAGTATACATTAGTATCATCAAGATAGACAACAACAAATGTCTATACAATTCCTTTATATACTCTGTTTATAAGTTATTGAAATGTTGTTGGTATATTGCACAATCCAAATAACATTACATTAAATTCATAAGTGCCATATTTTGTAATAAATACAGTCTTTTTTCTATTTTTGAGATCTATCATAACTTGCCAGTAACCACTAGCTAAGTCTAAAATTGAGAACCATTGTGATTTAGATAATGCATTTAACATCTCTTGTATTCTTGATAAGAGATAAGCATCTTTTTTAGTAACATTGTTAAGTTTTCTGTAATCTACACAAAATCTTAACTTTCTATTCTTCTTTCATACTAGAACAACAGGTAATGCCCAAAGGCTTTCTGATGGTTAAATTATATTGCTTTTAAGCATTCATTTAATTTCTTCTTTGATAAAGTTCTGTTCATCAGATAGCATGTTGTAAGGGCATAGTTTAACAGATAATACATCTTCTGTATAGATATAATGTAACTTTATCTGTTCTGCCAAGTTCTGTAATATTTTTGGCAAATAAATCAGCAAATTCCTTTAATAAGTTTTTGAACAATCATTCTTGTTCTTTAGTAAATAGTTCTACATTTACAATATCTGTTTTTTCTAAAGCATATTTCTCATATAGTATTAGAGTATTTATTATACATATATGTTTTTATTTTAATGCATTTCTTTGCAAAGCCTGTTGCAAAATCTGTTGCAAAGCTTCTTCTTCTGTTAGTAATTCTTTTTCAAGTGATAATTCTTTAATTTCTTTGTTTTCTATTTCTTCTAAGTCTTTTTGGTCTTTTGGGTCTTCTGAATCTTTTAAAT